ATCATGGGGGCAGAGATGTGGGCAACACGGAGCTTTCCATGCTCCTTAGTACAGGCAAAGAATGCTTACTGGGACACCTCAGCAATGTGCTTGTGGCGCAAGGTAACCCACAGGTCATCATCCTCATCCAGAAGGACCTCTTTGACCCGGGCCTCCCCAATTCCACTCGTCTCATACCTGGGAATTTCAAGAGAGAACAAGAATGAACAAATCAGTGACTTCATACAGGAAAGGAAGGAAATCTATATTTCTGGGACAGCCAAGATGGACACACTGTTTTGAATCATGGGGACTCAAAGGTCACGGAGTCCGAGTCCTTCCTGCATGCAGGAATCACGGTGATCCAATTTTTAAGAGAGACTTACTTAGGAGGAAGGGAGCTTATTCTTCTGCTGTGCGCATTGAACATTGCTGCCTAAATAACTGGGCTGACCTTTTTTTCATTCGTTACAATATTTGGAATTGGTCAGATTAATTGCTTTGGATACTTTAGAGCGACTACAAATGGGTCCCTGATTAACTGAGGAAACAAGGCAGGTTGGTTAGATTATAGAATGATATATGCCCACTGTTTGGGTTTACACAACACATTTAATCCTAAACTTGGGTCAATGAAGCCCAGTACCTCTGTTCACAGAATGTGCTATGTCCAAGCCCAGAAAGCACATTAGAAGTTCACACAACCTGCAGCAAACATGGCTGGATTTCTACAACATGCTCAACCACAGTTCTCTCAAGACCATTTTAGTCCAGTCTGTTCTAGTCTAACACCACACCTAACAACACACACATCACTCACAAGGGGGTGGTGACCTCGTAGACAGTACAGAAAGTAAACAAGGGAACCTTACTTGTAAACATCATTTTCAATGGGTAGCAAATCATAGCTCATGGCTTGGAACGTGAGTTCATGCAACACTGGAGAGGTGGGGTCAAAGCCACGATCTAGGATGATAAGTTGGGAGCGAGCTTTGTCTGGACCCTGGGGAGAACAAACCAATAACCCATTAGAGTTCATCCAGCCTGCTTTCCATCAGCTGAAAGAACATTCCTCTCAAAGCTAGCTCTGACAGCAAAATGCTGTGTTTCGACAGCCATGCTTCGTTTAAAGAGCACCGAGTATAAAAGTAGCTACTACAGGAGCAATGAAAATAATACTAAACGATGTCCTTCAACTCTACTAAGTCGCCCAATACAAGGTAGTTTTCTGACATCTCCAGAATCGTCTGCAATGCATGGAAAAATACTGTGGAATAGGGAGCTAAAGGGTCAAAGGATAGGAAGGAGTTGGTTGAAGCTACATCTAACAGGAGTTCATACAACCCACCGCTTTGCCCACCCTACCCAATTAAGGGCACTGACTCATCTGGCTCGGCTCAAATCCACAATCCAGGCACCTCAATCCAGCCCCTTTAACTGAAAGGATCTGCTTACCTCTCCCATAGTTGGGTCATCTGCCTTATAAGCATCCAGCTTGTCCTGGATCAGCTGAGCCAACATCGCATTGTCCTTGTAATCCCTGCCAAAAAAGAGAGAGAGAGAACATGACCATTATTTCAAAAGCAGGGCTGATTTTGTTTGATAGGGGCCCTTGACAATGCTGGCGGTAACAGTGGGCTCAAATTTGCCTTCTGTTTTTGTTGTCCCACTACAAAAGGTGCTCCTATTTCCCCCGCCCCCCACTCTTGGGGTACATGAGCAATTTTTTAGAATATCTTTGAGGGGTGTTTTCCTGATGACTTTGTTAACAACAAGTTGCGGAAGGTGGTGGAAAGTTTGCCTAGGCTTTGTTATGTCCCCAACCTTCCATGGCCTCCCTTGAGGAGTTCCTTCCTGAGGTCTTCCACTGGAATTGAACGGAAGCACGGGAAGTCCAAGAGGCTACAGGCAGCTGCAGAAAGCATTGTACTATGAAAGGCAGGACACACACACACCATACCCCTCTCGCCCATCTTGCGGGTAAATTAGTCCAAAAACACCACACTTCATCCATACAGTTTTTGCAGACGGTTTCCCCTCCTTTGGGGGTGGGGCGAAGGTTTCAGTTTAAAACAAAAGCAGTAGACGCCACATACTTTGGAAACCTGCTGTATCTGGAAGCTATATGTATCCCTTTCCCATTCATAAAGAAATAGAAATCTGTCAAGAGCTGGATGAAACTTCTAGGTTTCAAACAAGTCACCTCTTGAGTTCAAGTTGCAGACACTCAATAATGGGAAATCCTTGGACTTGCTTACATCCTCCTGTCAACCTGTCTCAAGGAGGCTCCAAAAGATTTGTAAATCTGACTACTAGGAGTTCAGAGAAGATGTGCTTCGAGTTTGGAGGCCTTTAGCCAATTCCAGCTGCAGTTACTTCGTTGAAGTGGTCCTGCAGAAACTCTACTCACCCCCTATATCGGACAGCTGGGTATTCCTTCAGGGTGGCACAAAGAGTCGCAATTTGTTCTGCCAAGCGCTCCAGAATTGGGTTCTTCATTTGGGCCTTATGAGGGCTATAAAAGCTCTGAAAGGAGTCAGCTGAATCCAGGGAGTAAACCTGCAGTTGGCATCGGAAGGGTAAAAGAAGAAAAGGAGCTGAAATGCCCAGGTTGAGATGGTTTCAGTTCAATACCGCCCCACGTTTGGCTTATCCACCAAGTCAGGAGAAAGAAGTAAGATACATAAAATACATGAGGAAGACTGTTAAGGTGCTATATGTACATGTCATTTGGATCATCTGCACATACTTCAGAATACATCATGTACACCCTTGTTTATAGTGCTGAATACCCGCACATACACATACATTTTGTGATGTTCAAATAAAAAATCCAATACAAATAGAAAGATAATACACTCCAAATATGAATGCCTATGAAAATGTCCAATTTGTTTTTTATATATCTCCATCATTTGCTCCCACATCTAGTAATTGTGTGCTGTCTTCCAAGGGCTGTGCTTACAGAGAGAAAAATCAATCTGCTTTGTATTTACAATGCTGCTTAACCATCGGCCATCTGTTTCTCTCCCTTCTGCTCCTCCCACCCCCCATTTTGCTCCACCACGAAAGGAGGTGGCAAGAAGCATTTCCTGTGCAATTGGACAGTAGCTTGGAAGGGTTCAAGAACCAACCCAAGGTCAAAGAAGCAAGTGTGTGGAAGTACAGAGGGCTGAACAAAGAGGGGTGTGTGTGTCTAAAGAAGGATGCTATGCCCGTCACAAAAGCTCAGCCATCAAAGCAGATGAGCATCAGAGGCCCATAAAGAGGAGAGGGATGGACAACCTTTGTGCCTGGGGGGGAAAAGTTGCATGAATCTGTCATCTTCTGCTTTGTGCTTGCTACAACTTGCCAACAGGAAAAAAAAAAAACTCCTGAGAAAACACAGCAACCGAATTTGCTCTCCAAGTCCACACTACTCTTCCCCTTTCATAAAATAATTTGGCTCTGTTCTGGTGCATTGATACCTACATGCTGATCCTCCCCATTATCTACTCAGCAGTGCAAAGATCCCTAAAAATCCATCCGTCAATAATCAAGTTGCATTCTAAATTAGTCTTTCCTTCCCCTGGGGACCAGCATGTATTCCAGAAATTATGCCCTGTTGGTTCTAGGACTGTGCATGCTTCAGAAATTATTAAGAAAAAACATATTTGTGCAGGCAAAGCACTTCTCTATTACGCATTAGAACAGCCATGTCTCCTCCCCCCCCCCCCCCCCGGCAGCTGCTTCGGGGAATTATATTAAGATGCAGCTGATTTAAGAAGAAGACTCCTTAAAACAGACATCTTTTTTTCAAGTTACCACAGAAGCTTAAAAAGTAACACAGCCACTTTAATGAGTAAGCAGAGAGATGGTGAGTAGATGTGCAAGTTCCGAAGCATTCTTTCAAATGACTTTTGCGGCATTGACAACGTTTCTACCAATGAGAGGAGCAGTGATGGTCCAGGTGAGAAATAGAATGGACAGATATAAATGCAGTTATACCCAAATATCCCACCTTCACTTCTGCCTCACCCATGGGTTACCTGTGACTCATAGGGCAGGAAAGCAATGTTGATTTCCGTCAGGGTCTTGATGACTTTTGCTGCACGGGATTTGACCAGTTCATTGAATAAGGAATCTGGACATGCTGGGAACAGAGACAGAGAACAACTACAAAGCTCAGACAGAGCAAACAAACCCGTTTGCCCCAACATGGATAGCTACAAGCTATCCCCACCTTTTCCAAAGATAGCAAGAAGACTGATATCAGAAGAGATGAGGATCTAAGTATTTGGGGAGGGGCTCTTGAAAGTCAGCTAGGTCAAGGCAGAGTTCAAACTAGGATCTTCCAATGCAAGACACCAGACCGCTCCATGGCTGCATTCACACAATCTAGCAGTTGCATTTGCGCGAGGTGCTGTTTTTGGCTTACTTTGGATTTTATTTTATTAGCTTAGCGTGTTATGCAAATCCAACACTTCTGTTGCTTGTGTGAACCTAGAAACATGAGTTAGTTAGGCGAATGTGGCCAGGATCTCATTAAAGCAGCTGCTTTCCTTGTAGATGAACTACAGTTCAATGCATGGCCCCAAGTCGGCCAAAGAGGATCTTGGAAATGGGGTGGAACTTGAAAAACCTTACAACGCAGAGGGGGAATCCTAGTTTACTACATACTTACAGTCAGTGAAGAAGACATGTGCAGCTCGATATTTGGCATTTGGGGGCTCCTTGAAGTCAGCAATGAGAGACTCAACAGACTGAGAAAGAAGATTATATGGATTCAGTTTCCTTCTTATCAAGAGCATCATCTCTCAGCCTAACCTAACTTGCAGACTATTATAAAGATAAAAACAGGACCTAGAGCAAAAGGCTGTTTACAGTGGAAACAGGGAACGTAATAAAACCAGTAGAAATAATTGTTAACAAGAAGGACTGCTATAAGACAGCTTCAATTGTTCCTATAATTTACGGCCTTCTTTTGGAAAACATGGTGGCCCACCTATAGTAAAACTGTTGAATAAGCTCTATCCAACCTGGATAGCCATCCTATTAACAGGCAACAATGTTCAGGGGAAAACCCACCTTTTCTGATGGAGTGATGAGATACACAGCCTCCAAGCTAGGCAGTGGCTCTCGGCGCTTATTGATATCTTCTACAACTGGATACAGCCACACCCACATACACAAGCAGAGAGAGCGCAAGAGAGAAACAGAGCAGAAGGAAATCAGATGGAAGGTTAGGGTGTTTCAGGGTCCATCACTAACTTCTGTCCATCTCTGGAAATCATTCTACCTGCTTGAAAGTTATCTCCCACTCCCCAAACTGCTTTCCTTCCCCATCCAGACCCACGGCTTCCTGGAGGCAGAAGGCACCCTATCCTTGAGAATTTCAGCAAGAGGAAATGAGGAGACAGGGCATCCAAGCTTTCTGCCTGAGAGGTTCGTTCTAACGAAGCTCTGCAGGTTGTGCCGAAGACGACACAAGGTTTGCCCCTGAAGTGCGTTACGTGAGCACAGTCCAAAAGTTCTACTTACTCGTTATGCCCTCGGTCATGATATCCGTCATTTTGCAGCAGGAGGACAGCATACGCATGCTTAACTGGTCCACCACCAGGACCTAGGAAAGAGACGGAGGAGGGAGATGTCATTCCAAAAAGTCTGACTTGGCTTTATGCATTAAACCTACCTAAAAGACACTCCTCCCCCACTGAAATGGCTCAGAAAAACAACTGGGCTCCTATGGAGCAAAAGGCTCCCCCCCCCCCGAAAGAAAACTTGGTTCTCTTAACAAACACTTGCAACTCAACATCCTTTCCTTCAGTGGAGGAAACAGAACCCTGGAACTCATTTTGTCCTAATAACAGCCAGACGTTGCTTATAGGTTTGCAAAGTGTTTTTGCCTTAAAAAATAGGAACTTATGGATCTTAGGTTTTGTTCCAGAGTTAGTGTATTCTCCTGGGAGGCCAGGTCCTGCATCAAATCTTGGTTTGTGGCATGTTTTCAAAGCATGTATTTGTTGAACCAGATATCACGCTTAACTATCTTTTGTGGATGTGGGATGAAATGGGTGAATTAGAAATGCTCATGTAACTTAGAAGTTTAAGCAGGGAAAATTCAGAGCTAGAAGCTGCGTCCACACACTGTGCTAAGCTGAGGGAGTGTTACCTTGGTTATACTTGTGTGTGATTCTGAGTGCTGTGCAAACCCAAAAAAATAGGCTAAATCAGAAACCAGGTTGAATGGCAGTGGGAATTACACTTGCATAAAACAGCATGGGTAAGAAGAAGCCAATGATTTATTTTGAACGCACCTTCCATTCTCCCTTCTTTTTTACTTTCTTTATGACATCAGCCATAATTTCTGCAAAAATAAAAAGAGAGGAATTAGAAAAAGAATTAATCAATCCATGACCGGCCAGCACCAGCCCCATTGCAGAAGCAAGTTTAATCACAGCATTGACTGTGGCTAAAGTAAGCTTCTTGAAGGTGAGCACATACTATGGCTGCAATTCCTGTTACCTACAGTCAGATGCCTTAGACTACAATGGAGTCATAACAACGACCAATCCTGTTCCTGTCTGGATAGGTCTGATCATAATGATCAAACTGGTTATTGTTTAAATTCAGTTTCCAGACTAGGGCAATGCTAAAAAATGAGTTTAGGACTCATACATCTCATACAAAAGATCATGAGAAGGGGGGTGAGGATTAAAAAGCCAAGCTCCCCAGCACTGCAGTAAACTAGACATAAAATACAATCAGCTGTAAAGTGCCTTACCCGTTGCACAGAAAATGATAAATACAACATCACAACAGCCTCTGAAGGCTAAAAGTCTGAAGAACTTTGCAACAGGAAGGCAGAGCAACTTGATTCCAACAACGGAGAGAAGCAAAGTGAGAAAAGACACGGGTGTGGAAAATCAAAATGGATGAGGGACACCACAGCTGAGCATCAACAGCAATCATTCACAGCTCACCTGAACTGAGGTGATGCATGAAGACAACCCATCAGTGCTTCGTTTAGAAACCAGAAATCCCAGTCCCTCAAGACAACCCCTTGTAATCCCAAACTGCATTTGCACATTCCATGTACAGATGGCTTATTTTATGCCAAGGTAATAAAATCAAGGCATGCCAAACTCACTCTCCACTTTTATCCTCAGCAGGAAGCCCTTATCAAAGATACTACGAGGAACAATTGTTTCCATATGAAATGTGACTGTTCATGGTGGACAGGGGTGCCCCAACTACAAGACAGGGCAAGACAATTGGCTTAAGTAGCAGCTTCCGGTCTAATCTTCTTAAATTCTCCATCTGTTCTCCTCTATTTGAAGATCCACAACCATGTAATAGATCAGGAAACAGAGAGAAATAGAAAGAAACCCCTATCATGGATGTTGAATTAAGAGTCAACAGAAGGTGGTCTCCTCCACATGGAGAGGTGAGAATCACCTTGTCCTTGGGCCACAAAAAAAAATTGGGGGGTCAGCTTTGTCTATGGAAGTGCCAGATGGATACTGATGATCCAGAGACTGGATTTAGGAAAAATCAGGAATAATAGGATAGAACATTCCTAAGGATGCTTATTCTTCCTAAAACACACACACACAACTGATGACTTCCCACAGTTGTTCTTTGGGAAGAAGCACTTGGGAACATTGCTGGTGGGCAAGTGGGGCAATGTCAGGGAGTGACAATTTTTCTCAGAGATGAATTGAGGGAATCATCTTGTTTCCTTCTTTACTTCTGCTCCATACCCTGGCCAGAATGAGTATTGTTCTAATACATAGAACTGTGCTTAAAGTAAGAGCTTTTGAGTTTCCTCCTTCGGAGTGAAAAGAACTTTCATCCTGAGTCTATCCCAAAGCAACAGCTTCTCAATGAATTTTTCTCTTAAACAAGAAACAAATGGATAGTTCATATAATTGTGCTGCTGAAGATTTGCTTTCCCTTTTATTGGAGTGTGGGAAGATGCCAGTTTTAAACTTTTGCTTCTCTGCACACATGGCTTCTCAGACAAAGGGAGGAAGAAGATACAGCAGGCATTTCCTGTGACAACACATCATAAGCTTTCAGCTTGTTTCATCACAACTTGGAAAAGTGAATGCCATAGATTCCAGAGGACAGGGCCTACTACACACCCCACTCTGCTCCACATTGCCAGGTTATTCTCCCTTGGTTAAGGTAATAGTTACCCCACTTCAGATTAAGGCGCCTGTAAGGGAAAAGGTTCTTCATTTTCTATTTATTACCCCACCAAAATAAGAGAAAGAAATGTTATGAACTGAACACTCATCAAGGAGAAAGATTCCTGCTTCTCCAGAAATCTAACCTTTTAAAGTCATTGAGTAGGATTCTAGCATCTCATTCTTCAACATCTGTTTTTTCCATTTCCTAAGAGTTATTTATTCTCCACTTCAGGGCAAGGACATCAGTAGGTTATTTAGAATATAGGCAAAAGGATCCTAAGTTGGAATGACCTTTAGTACTGCATCACATCTCCTTAGAATCTCACTTCCCATTTAGATGATTTCTTCTGCAGGACGTCTGGCACCAAAGGGATCGTTGCCAAGGGCCCAAGTCTACAGGGGAGCCAAATTGGAGCAGTGTGGCTGGTGGGAGGAAGGGTTCTAGCAAAGGAGATGGCGAAGCAAAACAGAAGCCCTCTTGGTGCGTAGATGGCTCGCTCAGGAAGGCACGTGCCTTTCCAATTTTGCTGGGTAAGCACAGAATCAGCAGTGGCCTTGCTCTGAAAACCTTGAGATGGGACAAGCAGGATGGAACAGATAGCAGCCACCCTTGGTTTTTATTTCAAAAACCAGAAGTTAGGAAAGCAGTTGTTCTTCTTTTGGGCTATGATAGTCTCCCCTTAACCTAGAGGCCCTCTAGATATTTTTCACTACAAACCCCCTTATCCCAGACATAACCAGACAAACAAAATCACTCAGTCTTTTCAAACAACTCCAGAACTTGCCATTTAAAAACACAAAACTAAATCATAGGCAATTCACTCAGTTCTTTCAGGCAGGGACCAGACAGGTAACCCTTCTAGGGAACACCTCAACCAACTTTACGATACCAGCCTAAATGTCTGGTGATGGTGGCACTGCCAAAGTGAAGTGCGTCTACAGGAGGGCAGCTAGGATGGTGAAGGTCTAGAACCCTTTGAGAAACTGACATGGGTATATTAAGCTGGGAGAACAGAAGAAGTGGAGATCTCCTAAAATATCTGAAGGCTGCCACCTGAATGAAGAAGACTTGTCCTCTGTTTGCTCCAGGTTGGCAGGACTAGAAACAAGAAGTCAGAAAGCAGATTTCAAGAAAAAGATTACAAGAATCCTTCTCTCAGTAGAAGCTGTAAGCAGTGCCATAACTGCCCTTAGGAAATGGTGGGCCTTTCTTCACCAGATGTATTTAACCAAAGCTGGACAGATATTGTTCAGGGATGCTGGACGTGCAACAGAGGATGGACTGAATGACTTCTAAGGATTATTCCTGCTGTAAGCAGGCAGCCCATCTGACAGAGAAAGAGAGGAGGTGAAAACAGAAAGATCCAATTGTCTTCTGACTAACCAAATCTGGCCAGAACATTGGACTCTCTGAACTGCATTGCAGCAGAGCTGGCCTCTCCCTTTTTTGCTTTCAATTTAGGAATGGCTAATTTTAAAATAAATAGGAGAGGAGAAAAAGAAGCTTGAGGTGGTCCACAGGGGGCCATGTTCCTGGAAATCAGGAGAGGGTGGTCTCAAGATCATTAAGAAACACTTCACCACTATAAACTGACTTCAGGTGGAATCTAAGGGTTAGGGTTCTTACTTGTTCTTAGAGGGTCCTGCTACTAACAACAGAGTTGCAGGAAAAGAAACCCTTGAGAAACAGGGCATGAGTGATGGTACAGAAAGTTATATTGCCAAGTTCTGTGAATGAGGAGGTGGAATCTCTCAGTTCACAAATCTATGGATGCGTGGAAATCCCATAGCCAAGTAGCCATTCTGACTGACAAGCAGAAACAAGGCTGAACCACCCCATCTTCCCTAGGTGTTTTCACACATGGAAAACACAACACAGCCATCTTACAAGGCAGAAGTTCCCGCTGAGCAGCACTGCATAGCACATGGAAGTTTGCCATTTTAAAAAGTCACGAGCCTTGCTTAACACAAATCGTATCAGTGTTTTGCACTAGAAAGAGCACCACAACAATGGCCCAAGTGAGCCAAAATACCTGGTTCTGAGACATCAGAACAAAAGAAAGGAATATACATAGCTCAGGGTTGAACTGTAGAGTCCTTGGTGCTCTCTGAGTTTGGTTGTTTGCTTGAAAATGTCTCATTACCCAACTAGGTAACATGACCACTGGCAGGGCAAGCTACTGTATATAAACAGGGAGAAATCCCCACACTCACTAGCACTGGTGATCTTACCTAGTTGGGTAGTGAAGCAAGCAAACCACCAAGGACTCCACCTAAAAACAAAACAGGACATCTCAAGTGTGAGCACTGAAAGGACAATGATAAGATCACAGGTACCTACAAGGGAGAGAATCATAGACACAGCCTTAAGGTCATCAAGAGATTAAGGTTTATTCCACCTGGGAAGTTAAGAATCTGTTGGGACATCAAATCCCCTCCTTAGCCAGCCATCATAAATTGTAACAACTAGAGAGCCACACCACACCCTGTCCCATTCTAAGTTGAGGCTTGAGGGACAGATGCCCCCATTTCTCTTCCCCAGCCTTTCCCGAGGGTGCATGGGGAGGGAGTATCTCTAAGATGATACTTGCTGAGAAACCAACATGGTTTACCTAAATTGAGTCTCTGTTGTGAGATGGGTGGCCACATCAACTATCTACATAAATAAAATCAACTACCAAAATTATTACTTTTAGTATTGTGCAAATTCAACTTGTTCTTTTAATTATATAGACATTCCAGGAACTATTTTTTAACCTTTTATTTTTTCAAACCTGTTTTTTTTTTTTATATGTTATTTTCAATACATATTTCAATACATATTCTTTGGGCATCAAAATCAAACTGGTTGGACAGATAAGAGAGAGTAGAAAACTCAAAAATTCAATTCTCAATGAATTCTTTGCCAGGTTACTTAGTTCAGCACTGGAGGAGAGGGAAGGACGGCAACCTTGAGGGGGCATTGCCCCCAAAAGTTGCAACTGGAACAGGCTGCATAGGTTGGTCACACAATCTGGCCCAGACCTTCCAACAGAAGCCAGTAAGGGTACCGTGGATCCCTTATTGCACATTATGGCACAGATCCCCCTTGTATTGGACTACAAAACCCAGGCTTGCTGGGGGTGATGGGACCTGTGGCCCACTGCATTTGGAAAACACCAGGAGTCCAACC